CACCCACACATCCCTTTCCCCAAGCTGGCGGCCCCTTGTCCAGGCCCAGCCCCAGCGCAGCCTGCAGCCCTGCAGAGCCCAGGCTTGGCCTTCTGAGGTTGTCCTGAGAGCATTGAGCAGTGAGCCCTGGGATTGGTGCACTGGGAGGGAAAGGTGAGCCGAGGCTTCCTGCAAGAGGCAGCCCTGGGCTGGGGGTGGGCAGCCTGGGTGATGGGACACCCTGCCCCCCTCAGCTTTTTTTTTTTTTTGAGATGGAGTCTTGCTCTGTTGCCCAGGCTGGAGTGCACTGTGGCGATCTCGGCTCACTGCAACCTCCGCCTCCCAGGTTCAAGCGATTCTTGTACCTCAGCCTCCCAAGTGGCTGGAATTACAGGCACCCAGCACCACGCCTGGCTAATTTTTGTATTTTTAGTAGAGACAGGGTTTCACCGTGTTGACCAGGCTGGTCTTGAACTCCTGACCTCAGGTGATCCTCCCACCTCGGCCTCCCAAACTGTTGGGATTACAGGCGTGAGTCACCGCGCCCGGCCCACAGCTGTTTTTTATGCTCCATGCTTGGGCTTCCTGTTAAGGAATAAAAAAGAATTTTTTTTGAGATTTAATTTGAATACTGTACACTCACTTGTTCACAGTGTGCATTCAGTGCATCGAGTACATTCACATGGCTGTGCAACCACTATTCTAATTCCAGAACATTCTGTCACCCCAAAAGCCAGCCCCATTCCCATTGTGTCACTCTCCATCCCTCCACCAGCTCCTGGCCACTCTGAATCCACTTCCTGACTCTGGATTGGCCTGTCCTGGATATTGCACAGAAATGGGATCCTGTCGGCCGGGCGCCGTGGCTCACACCTGTAATCCCAGAACTTTGGGAGGCCGAGGCAGGCGGATCACGAGGGCAAGAGATGGAGATCAGCCTGGCCAACATGGGAAACCCCGTCTGTACTAAAAATACAAAAATTAGCTGGGCGTGGTTGCGGGCGCCTGTAGTCCCAGCTACTTAGGAGGCTGAGGCAGGAGAATGGTGTGAACCCCGGAGATAGAGGTTCAGTGAGCTGATATCACGCCCAGTGCACTCTTGCCTGAGTGAGACTCCATCTCAAAAAAAAAAAGAAGGCCGGGCGCGGTGGCTCACGCCTGTAATCCCAGCACTTTGGGAGGCCGAGATGGGCGGATCACGAGGTCAGGAGATCGAGACCATCCTGGCTAACACGGTGAAACCCGTCTCTACTAAAAATACAAAAATTAGCCGGGCGCGGTGGCGGGCGCCTGTAGTCCCAGCCACACAGGAGGCTGAGGCAGGAGAATGGCGTGAACCCGGCAGGCAGAGCTTGCAGTGGAGTGGAGATTGCCCACCGCATTCCAGCCTGGGCGACAGAGTGAGACTCCGCTCAAAAAAGAAAAAAAAAAAAAAAAAAAAAGAAAAAAATAAATGGGATCGTGTCACCCCAGCGCTTTTGGAGGCTGAGGTGGGCAGATTGCTTGAGCCTAGTATAAACGAGACCAGCCTGGGCAGCATGGTGAAACTCTCTCTACTAAAATACAAAAATTCGCTGGGCGTGGGAGCACACATCTGTATTCCCAGCCACCCGGGGGGCTGAGGTGGGAGGATCGCTTGAGCCTGGGAGGCGCACTCCAGCCTGGGCGACAGGGAAACCCTGTCTCAAAAAAAAAGAAATTAAAAATAGAAAGGGCATCACACACTGTGTGTCCTTTAGTGTCTGGTATCTCTCAGTGTGACGTTCTCAAGGTGCATCTAGGCTGTGGCTCGAGTCAGCCTCGCTGGTTTTTGTGGCTGAGCCGTGTTGAGTGCGTGGATGGGCTCGGCTGACCCTCATCTGTGGAAGGGTCCCCGGGCGGTTCCACATCTTGGCTGCTGTGAGCACCTTGTGCATGGTTTCTGCGTGGCATGTGCTGTTCCTCAGGGTGTGTACCTGGCAGTGGAGCTGCTGGCTCCCAGGTAACAGACCTTTGGAGGATCTGCAGACTTTTCCACGCCCACCCACGGGCTCCTTGTCATTTTGTTGTTGTTGTTGTTGTTTTTATGAGACAGGGTCTCATTCTGTTGTCCAGGCTGGGGTGCAGTAACGCGATCACAGGTAACTACAGGCTTAAGTGATCTTCCCACCTGAGCCTCCCGAGTAGCTAGGACTTGAGGCATGTACCTCCATGCCCGGCTAATTGTTGTATTTTTAGTAGAGACAGGGTTTCGCCATGTTGCTCAGGCTGGTCTCGACTCCTGAGCTCAGGTGATCCACCCGCCTTGGCCTCCTGTAGTGCTGGGATGACAGGCGGGAGCCACTGTGCCTGGCAAGGTCAATAGTTTGGAGAAAGGAAGCAGCTGCAGAGAGGGCTGTGCTCTGTGACCTGCAGAGGGGGCTGTGCTCTCTGGCCTGCTGGGCCAACCCTTGTGACAGGCAGACAGGGCGGCAGCTGCAGGGCGCAGTGACAGGCGGGTCGGCGTGGACGGCAGGGGGGCAGCTGCAGGGGGCAGTGACAGGCGGGTGTGTGTGGACGGCAGGGGGGCAGCTGCAGAGTGGGCAGTGACAGGCGGGTGGGCGTGGCAGGACCCCTCGATGTCTCCTTCTGTGGCTTCTCCTGGTGCCCCTTCCTATGGGCCATGCTTCCAGCTCACCTGCGGCCCACCCTCCAAGGAGTGGGACCCTCTGAAGAGCTGGGAGCCCTTGGCGGCAGGGGGCTGTACTGTGTGACAGAGCCGTCACCAGGACCCCAACCCACCCTGGCTCCTGCCATGGCCCAGCTTCCATCTGTGCTGCCATCGCAGTAGTCTGGTTTCTAGGAAGCAAAACTGTTACTGAGTTACGAAGCTCAATTCAGAGTGTCCTTTGGGAGCCAAGGCGGGCAGATCACAAGGTCAGGAGAGCGAGACCAGCCTGGCCAACATGGTGAAACTCTGTCTCAACGAAAATACAAAAAATTAGCCAGGTGTGGTGGTGGATGCCTGTAGTCCCAGCTACTCGGGAGGCTGAGGCAGGGGAATCGCTTGAACCCGGGAGGCAGAGGTTGCAGTGAGCTGAGATTGGGCTACTGTGCTCCAGCCTGGTGACAGACCAAGACTCCGTGTCAAAAAAAAAAAAAAAAAAAAGTGTCCTAACTGTGTCTTCCAAAGCTCTCACTAGCTGGTGACAGACTGGAGGGTGCTGTGCTCCCACCCCCTACCGCCCCGAGCCTGGACATGTGGCCCCTGCAGGGCCCTGCCCCAGCACTGTGAACCCACGGCTTCTCTCCAGGGAAGGGCGGAGGTGCGCCACCTCCATGGGGAGATGGGGAGGCCCAACTCCAGGGATCCGGGTCATCGTCCTGACATTGAGGTTGGCTGACACCCACCCCCGTCCTCTCTGTCCCAGGGAAATTCAACTACTGAGGAGGTTACGGCACAAAAATGTCATCCAGCTGGTGGACGTGTTATACAACGAAGAGAAGCAGAAAATATATCCTTTCTGGTGTTGGGGCCGCGGGGCCTCCGTGGGAGGGGCTGGGGCCCTGGGTCCGCCTGCCCCGAGGTCTGCTCCCCTTCCTGTCTACTTGAAGGAGACTGGCACACGAGGGCAGTGGCCTTCCCTGGCTTCCTGGAAGTCAACCATTGTGGCAGCGGCTGAGCAGCTTGCTGAAACGGGCCCCGAGCCCCGGCCCCTGTGTCCTGTGTCCTGTGTCCTGGAGCCGTGGGGTGTCAAGACCCTATTTTCTCATAGTCTTCTCCAAGGCTAACCGGGGTGTGGCCAGGGTCTGCCTGAGGCAGGCCACGCAGGCTGAATGTTGTGGGCCATTTTGGTCGTGGCTGAGCGTGTCCTTGTGTCATCGGTAGACTCCCCCAATGGGTCTTACGGGCACAGCTTCCCTACGGGGACTTTGCTTGAGGCCCTGTGCCCAGAGCAAGAGCAGAAGTGGTCCTAAGGCTGGGGCTGTGTTCAGAGTCACGCAGTCAGGGGCCGTGGGCCCCATCCTGTGTGGACCCGAGCCTGCTTGTGGGGGCGTCCAGGAGGTATCATCCACCGCCCATGGGCGGGTGGGGGACGTGAGTCCCGCAGGAACACTGCCCCAAGAGTCAGCCCTGTCCTCCACTCCCATGGAGGCTCCTTCCTCCCAGACGCTGGGGCCTTTTCAGAGGGGTGTGAGGGCAGGGTGGGCCCTGGTCCGAGGAGGGACCGGGTGGTTGCGGAGGGTCCCTCCAGAACCCCTTCTCTGGCCCCTGTGCTCCCCGGGCCTGTGAGTGGGGCCGCCCCCTGAGCTGTGTGTCCTTAGCGTCCCACGTATATGGTGATGGAGTACTGCGTGTGTGGCATGCAGGAGATGCTGGACAGCGTGCCAGAGAAGCGTTTCCCGGTGTGCCAGGCCCACGGGTGTGTGCGCGGGGCAGGGGCTGGGGTGAAGCAGGGGCTGGGGGCCGGGCAGGGCAGGCTCCTTTCCCTGTGGCCACACGGCTTGTCCTGATCTTCATTGACATGAAGGCCCAAGTTTTTTATTTTTTTGGTTTTATTTTTTTTGAGACGGAGTCTGGCTCTGTCGCCCAGGCTGGGGTGCAGTGGCCGGATCTCAGCTCACTGCAAGCTCCACCTCCCGGGTTTACGCCATTCTCCTACCTCAGCCTCCTGAGTAGCTGGGACTACAGGCGCCCGCCACCACGCCCGGCTAGTTTTTTTGTATTTTTTAGTAGAGACGGGGTTTCACCGTGTTAGCCAGGATGGTCTCGATCTCCTGACCTCGTGATCCGCCCGTCTCGGCCTCCCAAAGTGCTGGGATTACAGGCTTGAGCCACCGCGCCTGGCCTTTTTTTTTGAGACGGAGTCTCACTCTGTCGCCCAGACTGGAGTGCAGTGGTGCGATCTCTGCTCACTGCCAGCTCCGCCTCCCTGGTTCACACCATTCACCTGCCTCAGCCTCCCGAGTACCTGGGACCATGGCACCCGCCACCACGACCGGCTAATTTTTTGTATTTTTAGTAGAGATGGGGTTTCACCGTGTTCGCCAGGATGGTCTCGAACTCCTGACCTCATGGTCCACCCGCCTTGGCCTCCCAAAGTGCTGGGATTACAGGCGTGAGCCACCACGCCCCGCCCTGTGAAGGCCCAAGTTTTTAAAAACAGTTTTGGGGACTCCCGTGTGTGGTATCCACGGGCAGGGCTGCTGTCAACCTCCTGCCTCCATCTTTGCTGGGCCTGCTGCCTGAGGCCGGCAGCCCACCCCATCCCGTCCCAGCAGCCACCTGCCCCGACCGACCTCCTGGTACAGATCTGTGGGCTGCAGAGTCAGGGCCCCTTGCTGCTGCAGGACTGCAGGGGCAGGGAGGGGCCTGCTGTTTCAGCAAGCCTTTGGGGTGCAGCCGGCCTGTAGCCCACAGGGAAATGAGACCTGTGGACGTCCGGGGCCCTGCCAGACGTGACTCGGCTGGATGAGGGTGGTCAGTGCAGGCGCAGGCCTGGCTCCCTAGTGGACCCAGCTTTTCCTCTGTCCTGTGTGCCTGGACCTCCGTGACTCCCCAGCGGGGCCTGTGGTGTTTGGGAGGCTCCCAGGCGGCTGCAAAGGGGACCCCTGTGAGGAACAGGGAGGCCTCGGTCCCAAGACAGGTGTGTGCTGCCCGCAGGTACTTCTGTCAGCTGATTGACGGCCTGGAGTACCTGCACAGCCAGGGCATCGTGCACAAGGACATCAAGCCCGGGAACCTGCTGCTCACCACCGGGGGCACCCTCAAAATTTCCGACCTGGGCGTGGCCGAGGTAGGCACGTGCTAGGGGGGGCCCTGGGGCGCCCCCTCCCGGGCACTCCCTGAGGGCTGCACGGCACTGCCACAGGCACTGCACCCGTTCGCGGCGGACGACACCTGCCGGACCAGCCAGGGCTCCCCGGCTTTCCAGCCACCCGAGATTGCCAACGGCCTGGACACCTTCTCCGGCTTCAAGGTGGACATCTGGTCAGCTGGGGTCACCCTGTAAGTGCCCCGGCCCCGCCCCAGCACTCGCCACACGCACAGCCCGGAGGGGCCTCTGCATCTTGGGCAGCTTCTGGCCTGTGGGTGCAGGGCGTAGCCACCAGCCTAGACCCTCGCTGGCCACAGCCACTGGGGGTGCTTACTTTATGGAGACGTAGCTCACACGGCAGATGGTGGTTCACCCATGTGACATGCAGCCTAGCCTGTCAGGGATCTTCACAGAGTGTCACAACCAATCCTCCTCTCAGAGCCCCACAGGGAAGCTGGGCGGGTGAGAGTGGCTCCAGGCCCCTTCCCCGGGTGGGTCCAGAGGACGCTCCTCTCTTGCCCCATGGCCTCCACTAGTGGGAGGCGGTGAAGACAGAGGTGTCCTTGAGTCCGCAGGGCCTGTGGTCCAGCAGCCACGTGAGGGCTCCGTCCCTGGGGCAGAGGTGGGGCTCCCGGGGCGTCGACCACCTTGACTGACCACACCTTTCTTCCCTCCCCTCGAATGAAGCTACAACATCACCACGGGTCTGTACCCCTTCGAAGGGGACAACATCTACAAGCTGTTTGAGAACATTGGGAAGGGGAGCTACGCCATCCCGGGTGACTGTGGCCCCCCGCTCTCCGACCTGCTGAAAGGTGGGGGCCTCGTCCCTCTGCCCACAGCCCCAGGGAGGCGGGGCTTTTGTGCAGAAATGCAGGGTGGGGGGTGTTAGGTGGGGGGCTATTGGCCCTGAGACCCCTGCAGGCACTGAGAGGACTGAGCGGAGAGGCCGGCCTCCCACTAGGGCCTGGTTTGCGGGTCCCTCAGCTCCACCCTGCTTCTGGGCCCTGTTCACCTTTCAACTCCCACCCCTGAGGGCAGGGCTGCCCTGCGCCTCCCCTAGCCCCGCCCTCGGGGGCTCCCTGGCCTGTGTCAGGCTCGTCCTGCTGCACTTCCTGTGTGTGGGCAGCAGGTGGCACTGGCCGTCTGTCCATCTGCCCAGTGGCCTTGGGAGAATGGAACCGCCCTGGCTGTCCAGCCCAGCCCTGTCTCCCAGGCAGGCACGCAGAGGCTGTCCCTGGCCTGTCCCCTGGAGTGGCCTCTGTCAGGGAGGCCATCTATGCAAGGGGGCCCCCCTTGGGAGCATCCAGGTATCACCTGGGGCCTGACAATAGACGCTGGTCAGGTGGGGATGATTGGTGGGGTCTCGGGCCTGTGCCCGGCTGACTGGCTCCTCGCCGGCTTCTTCTCAGGGATGCTTGAGTACGAGCCGGCCAAGAGGTTCTCCATCCGGCAGATCCGGCAGCACAGGTGAGCGGCCCCTGGGGGCAGTGGGGCCAAGACCACAGGGAGGCTGGCCACGTGTGCAGCTGGTTGAGTGGGCGCCAGAGCAGGGCATGGTGGGGGTGCTGGGCTGGGGCCAGACCCCGTGCAGCGCCCGCAGTTCTCAGGGCCCAAGTGGGGTCTCTGGGCAGTGCCCTGTTAGTGGCCAGACAGGCCTTGTCCGAGCTGGGGTCTGAGTGAGGACGTGTATCCGTCTCTGCCCTAGGCATAGAGACACACTGGGAAAGGCACAGCTGGCCCTGAACGCTGGCGAGAGCCCCTCTTTTTACCCTCCTCCTGGGGCTCCCAGCAGCACGGTCTGGTTGGGATCCAGCCAAGGGCACCCAGCTCTGTGACAGGGAAGACAGCAGGCCCCGCAGTGCGACCTCCCTCGCCTTGTGGGCTCTGCTCCTCTGCACCAGCCCCTGGGGTCGCTCGAGCCCCGAGGCCCCCCAGAGACCGGCTCTGGGAGTGGGAGTGTCCGGACCCCTGAGGCGCTGGTGCTGATCGTCCCTTGGGGATCTCTGCGTAGCTCAGGGGCAGCTGGGAGCCGGGCGGGTGCTGGGGCTGCCCCCATAGCCTCCTGGATTAGGATGTATTCATGGCCCCCCAGGCCCCCTTCTGGCCTTTGCTGACATCCGTCTGGTGGGTGCTGGCTTCTGAGTGCCACCTGGGAGACAGGCCTGAGGCTGGGCGTGGTGGGGGGTCAGGCCTCAGGGTGGAGGGGACATCTGTCAGGCTTGGAGTGAGGTCAGGGCTACAGACTGAGGTCCTGGCAGCCTGCCTGCTCCGGGAGGGCATGGCTGAGCGTCTGTGGTCACAGCCACCCGGTGCGCGGCCTGGTTCCGGCTCCTGAGCGTGCAGCAGGTACTCTGAGCACAGAGGAGCCAGGTTGGGCAGCTGCACCGTCCTGGTGCGAGCCTGACAGGCACCACTGCTTCTGGGCGTTTGCAGCTGGTTCCGGAAGAAACACGCTCCGGCCGAGGCGCCGGTGCCCATCCCGCCGAGCCCGGACACCAAGGACCGGTGGCGTAGCATGACTGTGGTGCCGTACTTGGAGGACCTGCACGGCGCGGACGAGGATGAGGACCTCTTTGACATCGAGGACGACATCATCTACACTCAGGACTTCACGGTGCCCGGTGAGTCTGGTGGGGGCCCCTGCCCAGCTCTGCTAACTCGGCTGTGACGTCCCACAGGAGCAGGGCGCCTGCCTGTCTGCAGTGAGGACAGCTTCTGCCCTCTGGTGGCCAATCCCACATCCCCGAAGCCTCCAGCCCACCTGCAGGCCGCCTCCGCCCTGGGGGCAGCTGGGACACGGCTGAAAGGCTTGGGGGCAGCGGGAGCACTGGCCAAGGCCTGTCTGGCCAGGAGGGTTCCCCAGGCGTCTCTCCGGGTGCTGCCTAGCCAGGCACCGCCCACCGGCCTTGACCTGAGCCCCAGCAGGAGCAGGCGGGGAGCCCCGGGGTCGGGGGAGGGCGGGTGAGAGTCGAAGTGCAGGGTGGCCCCTAGACAGCCGGCCTGCGAGGGCCCAGCGGCCCGCCCCCCCCGACCCTGAGGCCTGCCCGCTGGCCTGATGCCGGCCGCCCTTCTTCCCCAGGTGTCGAGGAGGCGTCTGAGGCAGGGCTTAGAGCGGATCACGGCTCACAGAAGAGCGAGGGCTCAGACCTTTCAGGAGAGGAAGCCTCGCGGCCGGCGCCGCAGTAGTGCCGGAGGAGGAGCTCAGGGCCTTAGCATAGGGGCGGCCCGCGCTGGCAGCCAGCCCCTCCCCGCCACGCTCCGGCTTGTCTCTGTTCCGCCTGGGGCTGGGCTGTGTCATAAAGCGTTGTGCAGTGTATCTGCAGATGGAGGCTAGCTGTGCTCGGGCTGGAGCATGGCAGGGGCTTTCTGTTTCACTGTAGCAGCATGAAGTGGTGGGCAGGGGCCAGCCTGAGAAGGGGGGTACGCCAGGCAGGTTGGGATGTGAAGATCCAGGGGACAAGGACCACCCCCGGGCCCGAGGGTCCCAGAATAGTGGGGACCCTGCAGAGAGCCTCATCCCTCAGCACCCCCAGGCCCCTCAGCAAACCTCTAGGCTCAGCTCAGTAGCTGGTCCCCAGGAGGGTACCGTGTGAGGACCCCGGGAGAGCACAGTGGGGGGCTCCCCTGGAGGGCACGGTGTGGGGCCCCCGGGAGGGTACAGTGTGGGGGCTCCCCAAGAGGATGCAGCATGTGGGGGCCCCCCAGGAGGGTACAGTGTGTGGGGGCCCCCAGGGTCAAAGGGTCTCGCCTCCTGGGCTCTTGCATTTGTGGCACCGTGGCCGTCGCGTCTGTTGGGACGGGAGGTGCTGCTGGGCACCCTGGTCACTGGGGTGTGCTGGGAGGTGGGGTCCCCTCATGGCACCCATCCTTGGGGCCTGGCTGCAATTTGACCCCCGGTCCAGGGCCTTCTGCCTTTCAGAGCTCTGGGGCCCCGAGACGGGCAGTCAGGCAAATCCCAGGCAGGAGGGCCAATTAGGGCAGGGCCAGCCCAGGCAGGCCGCCAGAGCCCTTGCTGGGACGTGGACCACACGCTGACCCTCACGGCCGCCCCTGCAGGCCAGGATTCCTGAGCCAGGACCCGGCACTGGCTTCCCTCCAGGCCTGTGTGAGACTGCCCTGTGTGGGCTGCCCTGGGGTGAGGTGCCGGGGAGGAGGGCAGGGGCTGGGCCACCTTTTTCATGACCCTGCTGAGCCCACTGTGGGTGGTGGGAAGGAGTACCCAGCAGAGGGGGGTCCGCTGGGACCACTTGACATGGCTGAGGCCTCGGTACTCGGTACTGGGTGCTCAGGTGCTGACGCCCTTTCCACTGCTCAGGCGCTGGGGACAGGCTCAACTTGAGGCTTCAGCGTGAGCCCCATCCCTGACCTGCAGAGCTCCCTTGCATCGGGGCAGGACAGCCCAGCGCCCTTGGGTCAGGGTGTCCTCCACACTCGGCCTGGGCTGCTGCATCGGCCCCTGCATGGCTCCACTTTGGCCTTGCCTGTCCCTACCCAGGATGGGGGTCCTGCTGCCGACACCCAGAACCAGGGAAGAGGCTTGGGGCAGGTCCTGGGCACCAGCGCGGACAGGCGTGTGGGGTGGGAGAGGGGACCGAGGGTCCCAGTGCCTCGTGGGAGCAGGGCCCTGGTGGCAGCTGTGCCACTGATGCAGAGCTGGGGCACCTTGTCTACCAGGTTGGCCCCATGGGAGTGGGCACAGGGTCTGCCCCAGCGGAGATGGGCTGGGTGTAAGACCTATGGGTGCCATTGGTGCCTCCTGACCAAGGTGCTTTTTTTTTTTTTGGAGACAGTCTTGTTCTGTCGCCCAGGCTGGAGTGCAGTGGCACAATCTCGGCTCACTGCAACCTCCACCTCCCAGATTCAAGCAATTCTCCTGCCTCAGCCTCCTGAGTAGCTGGGATTACAGGTGCGCGCCACCACGCCCGGCTAATTTTTGTGTTTTTAGTAGAGACGGGGTTTTACCATGTTGGTCAGGCTGTTCTCAAACTCCTAACCTCGTGATCCACCCGCCTCGGCCTCCCAAAGTAGCTGGGATGACAGGCGTGAGCCACCGCGCCCGGCCCAAGGTGCCTTTTTAAAGCCAGTGACTTCCTGTGCACACGGTGGGAGGTATATGGCAAGTCCTGGAAGCTGCTGAGTCAGCCACCGGCCCTTTCTCGGAGCTGGGGCTCTGCACTGGGCACATGAGCTCTGGGGCAGCCCAGGGCAGCCTCCCACTGACGTCGCCTGGGAGGGGCCTCGGGGGTGGCTCGGCAGCCAGTGTGTTGGCGGAGTCCTCACAGACCACCACAGCTCCTGGCAGGGACAGCACGTGGGCAGCTTCCTGCACTTCCCCCGCCATTATGAGGACATTGTCCACCTGGGCAGGGTGGGCAGCCCCAGGCCTGTGAGTTTCACAAGATGCTGGTGCTGGTTGGTGGCCGGCAGAGACTGGGGGCGGCTGGGGGCCCTGGCAAGCTGAGCTCTACTCCACACGTGGTTCTGTGCTGGCATTTTGCATGCCTGGCCTGAGCCTGGCCCTCCTGTGTCCTCACAGGTGAGCATGTGGTGGCTCCTGCATCTTTAGAACCAACCATGGGCCAGGGCACCCCAGGGGAGCACGGGAGGGTCCTGCCCTGTCCGCTTGCCGCCTACTCAGGAGGCCCCTGTAGACAGTACCTGGGTGGGGTCCCACCTGGGGCCGTGGCAGGTGCAGCAGATGGGGTGGAGGGGGCATTCCTCCCAGGCCATCTGTGGGAGGCTCATCCCCTGGGGGTGCCTCCCGGAGCTGCTGGGGGACAGCATTTCAGGCTGGAGAGACTTGGGCCTGACCCGGGGGTGGGCATGGCCTGGGCCACAGCTGTAAGTGTCTCCCTGTGCTGGGGGCCAGCCAGGTTCCTGCGACTCTGGGGGTGCGGCCCTCGGCTCAGGCCACGCTTGCCGTCTCCCTCCCAGGACAGGTCCCGGAAGAGGAGGCCAGTCAGAATGGACAGAGCCGGGGCCTCCCCAAGGCCGTGTGTATGAACGGCACGGAGGCGGCGCAGCTGAGCACCAAATCCAAGGCGGAGGGCAGGGCCCCCAACCCCGCCCGCAAGGCCTGCTCTGCCAGCAGCAAGATCCGCCGGCTGTCGGCCTGCAAGCAGCAGTGAGGGTGGCCACCTGCAGGTGGGGCGCGGCGGGACCCGGGCGGGGCACGTGGGGACACTGCATGGATGCCACAGCCAGCCATGAGCATAGCCCACGCCAGTCATGGCGGCTGTCAGACGGCTGCGCATAGTTGCCATGTAGCCTTTGAGTAGCTTGGCCACATAGCAATCCCCACTGAGGGTGGTATCTCCGGGCCTGGTGTCTGGCTAGCGTGCTGGTCACGGAGGCCTATGTGTGGCAGGACTCTAGGGGGTGTCGTGCCATCCTCACAGCCATCTCTCAGAGTGGGTGCATTTAGAGGACCCTGCCCTGGGCCTGGCACCCCCTCCCCATGCGTGGGCTACTCCCAGGAAAGGCTCACGTTGGGCTCAGCCCAGAAGCTTTTGAGGCATGAGTGAGTCGTGGGTGGTGGGGAGGGGCGGCGACCTCCATGGCCCTGCTGGGCTGCCCCAGGCTCTGAGCGAGCTGCCAGGTCTGGCTGAGGCTGAGTCGTGCCAGACGCTGCCCTGTCTCTCCCTGTGTGCCTGCTCCCTCTCCCAGCCCCAGATGTCAGAGACCCTTGTCACCTGCTGAGGATGCGGGGTGGATGGGAGCCCGAGGCTGAACCCCCTGCCTTGCCACAGTCCCTCTCCCAGGTTTTGAGGGCCACTGCCTGAGTTACGTGTCTATCCCCCAAATGGGTGCTCACAGCCCATCCACCAGCGTCAGAGCCTGCCAGACCCTACTGCAAGAGGCTACACTTAATGTACCCGGGGAGTGACTCAAGGGTGGCCTTCCCTGGCCTCCCCTGCTGCCCCACTGGAGTGCGGTAGCCCGATGACTGCACCTCAGCTTCTCCATCCTCCCAGGAGCCCGAGGGAAGCGGAGAACCGGTACCCAGGCTGACCTCTTCCGTCCTCCCTCCCCCCTGCAGCCCGTGTCCAGGAGCCCCGCCAGGTGCCCGCGCCAGGCCCTCAGTCTTCCTTCCGGTCCCGCCCGCCCTCCCGGAGAGGTGGCTGCCATGCCTCTGTGCCGACCACGCCCCAGGACCTCCGGAGCACCCTGCAGGGCCGGGCAGGGGGACAGCAGGGACCGGGCACAGCCCTCCCCTCGGCCGCCCGGCAGTGCACGCTTGTTGACTGCAGCCCAGGGCAGAGCCTTCCCGGGCAGGCGAGGGAGGAGGGAGGCGGCCTCGATGCACTTTACGTGGAGACTACTGGCCCCGCCCGTGGCCTCGTGCTCCGCAGGGCGCCCAGCGCAGTCCCCGCCGCAGACCAGCGGGCGGGTGTGGAGACCAGGCTCCTGGCCCTGCCATGCATGCAGCACCGCCCGGAAGCCGCGCGGCCACTTTGGTTTTGTTTGGTTGGTTCCATTTTCTTTTTTTCTTTTTTTTTTTAAGAAAAAATAAAAGGTGGATTTGAGCTGTGGCTGTGAGGGGTGTTTGGGATCTGCTGGGTGGCCGGGGGGGGCCGCGGGGTTGGGCTCACGTCGCAGCTGCCTTTGCGCGCTCGGGTCACCCTGCTTCGGCCGCCCGGTCTGAGGGCAGGACCCCTCACCTCCCCCAAGGGACCCCAGAGAAGGAGCGAGCAGGAGTGTGCAGTCAGTATGTATAATCATCCAGAAAACAGAAACACGAGAAACGCCATCGCGGGATGGTGCAGACGCGGCGGGGGCTCGGAGGGCGTGGTGCGGGCCAGGGCGCCCGAATTTGGCAATAAATAAAGCTTGGGAAGCTTGGACCTGGCCGTCTGGGTTTTGTTCGCGTCTCAACATGGACGGGGCGGCAGCGGGGCGGGCGCCGTTCACATGCGGAGGGCATGGGCTCGGGCGGGAGGGCCGGGCCGGCTCCCAGGGCCGGCGGCAGCAGCGGCGGCGGCGCAGTTATTGCTCGGAGGCGGCGCGGGCTGCCGCAAGCAACACGCCCGCGGTGAGGTAAACGGTCTCGGCGGGTCGGCAAGTCATGGTGTTGAGCCGCCCCCGGCCCAGGACGGTGAACCCTCTCTGCGGCCCTCAACGCCCCGCGGCCCCAACCCGGGCAAGCTCGCGCACGCGCACGGCGGGCGGCTCCACGGCCAGGGGGCCTGCGCGTCCTCCGGGTGGCGGCCCCGCGAGTGGTCTAAGCAGCCGCCGATCCGGCGACAGGAGGGCAGTTGGTCGTTGTCCTCAGGAGCCCGAAGCTGAGAGCCGTTCACGCCCCTTCCTTCCCGCCCAGCCGGGGTCTCCGCGTCCCGCGCCTCACGACGCGCAGCACCCGGCAAGCACCGGCCAGAGCAGTGCGCACTTCGACTGCACGAGGGCGGCCGGGGCTCTGCGCGTGCGCCCTGAAGCGGCGAGCGCGCCTCCGTCGCCCCGCGCGTGCGCGAAGGGCCCACGGTTCCAGCGCATGCGCGTCGGGGCGTCGCGCCCCCACGTCTCTCCCGCCGCCGAGGCCCCGCGCGGCGCCGAAGAAGCTGCCAGAGAGATGGGCCCAGGACGCGGGACTTAGGCCGGGCTGTGGTCGGGGGACGTGGGAGCGGCGGCGACCAAAGAGGGAGCCGCCACGACGGGCTCGGAGAGGCGCGGCGGAAAGAGTCTCTCTTCGAGGCCGGCCGCCAGCTTATCCAGCACCGCCCCGGGGGGTACGACGCAGAGGCCCGAGCCGGGGCAGCCCCCGCCGCCCGGCTCCTCCTCGATGACGGGGATGGCGGGGTCGTCGCCGGCGCCGCGGCCCTCGATGCTGGCGTAGCCGCTGTCCATCTGCAGCAGCCGGCGCGCCTCGCCGTCCTTGGGCCGCGGCGCGGGCGGGGAGGGCGGCGGGAAGGTGGGCGCCGCGCCCCCGGAGCCCGAGCCCGAGCTGTCGCCGCTGCGCACCGAGTCGCGGTCGTTGCCGCTGCTGCTGTGGTCCGAGGCGGCAGCATGCAGCTCGAGCGAGGCGCGCAGGCTCCACAGGTCGCGGTAGCTGGTCTGGGCCTGCTCGGGGCCCGCGTCCCGCTCGGCGTCCGGCTCCAGTGGCGGCTGCTGCTGCTCAGGCCCCGCGCCGCGCTCCGGGGGAGAATCGGGGCTCGCTCCTCCCGCTGCCTCGGCCGCCTCTAGCCTGCAAGCCAGGCCGCGCTGTCAGAGCCCGGCCGAGCCCCGCGCCCCCTCCCTGGCCGGCCACCCGCCCTCTGGATCAGGGAGGGTGGGCCCGGGTGGGACTTGGGACTCGGGCAGGCCCTGGAAGGTGAGAGCTTTAAAATGGGCCGGTGTGTTTTGCAGGGAATGGGTCTTGCATTGACCCTGAGCTGTAGCGCCTGCTCCGTAAGCAGAGTGC